TGGCCAGATGACCTGGGCAGCAGTGACTGCTGTCAGAGACTAGAGCCAGTGTGCCTTACCCCCTTGCCAGCTTGAATGCTTTGATCGAGTTCCTGTGCTTTCCTGTCCCTCCTTTTCTCCCCAGAAAAATGGGGGAGAGCTGAGCTCTCTGCAAGTGGCACCATTCCGAGTTCATTTCTCCGGCCTTTGAAACAGAGCAGCCAGCAACTGCCAGGTCCTTACATGAGTGTGAACCGCTCGGCCCTCTCTGGGCTGGGGATCCAAATGTCAGTGCTCAAAGGGAAAAAGAGCAGCTTTTTACCATGGTAACAGAGGAAATTAAATAGATGTGTCCGTGCTCTGCTCTCTTCTGCTGCTGGTTGGAGTTAAACAAGAAATGCCTGGTTTCGTACAGAGCCGTAGGGACTGGCATACAATTGGTTATGAATATAGAGGTGAGTTTTTCTAGCAGCTGAAGATCAGCATTTACCCATGTAGGCATAATAATGGTCTAATGATACTGACTTCATTCGTAAAAACCTTGGGGATCTGTGGATGAAAATATTCGGTAAAGGTGAGGTATTATCTGTCCGAGCCACGGTTCCCAAAGAAGGGTTCTTTGACAAAGACAAAACAATTAAGGCTGCGCTCTTCATCACTCTTTCTGTTTTCTTTTCCTTCTGTTTCTGGTGTTTGTATCAATCTGCGAATGCTTGGAAACAGCTTTTGAAAACATGTTTGCAGAGATTTCTAATGAGGCTTTTTGGAATGCAGCTAGTATTTAGAAAACAATTCCTAATGCAGGCTGAAAAAGCATGCATTTTCCAATCAGTTTTGTTCATATCACCTTGGTAAACATTGATGTTTCTTTTTTTAACTTGTGGTTCAAATGGAGCTTGAAATTAAAATAGCTCTGTTTGCTCACCTCCCTGTTTGCCTGCCACTGTCGCTGAGCTCAGCACCACTCTCCTAACAGGTTTGTTAATTGCTGTCACTTCTTCTGATGGTTTTTGCAGTAACAGTTCAGATGGTGTAACTATCTGCTGGGGTTTCTCACTAACAAATGCTGAAGTGAAACAAAAGCATTGCAGGCAGATGTAGAATCCCACAAGCCAGGGCTGGCAGGGCCCCTCCGAGTAGGTGGTGAGGGATCAGTGAAGATGCCAAGAACACAAAGGAGGCTGCCCTGTGTTTGCCATGCAGTGCCCCTGCAGCCCTTCTCAACGTGGGCCACTGCAAGCTGCTTGAACTGCAGCCAGCACTTCCCTGAGCTGTCCTGAGTAGTGCTCAGGGTCTAGTAAAGTCTAAGTTTAATGGTAGGCTTGATGGCCTTAGAAGTCTTTTCCAAACGAAAGGATGCTGCAAATTCTGCAGCCTTAGGGAGCCTTTGCATGAGGAGTCCCAGAGAAGCCTGCAGCAGCTCTGACGCACCAGTGAGTGTTACTGGGATAGACTTTGCAGTGCTCAGCTCAGAACACAGTGCTGTTTTCTTCCTGTCAGTGCTGAAATGCACAGTCCATTAGTTTTTTACATTTTAGGGTGCTCAATTTCCTTGGTTTTGTTTGTTAGAATGAGGCTAATGTTTACTATAAACCCTGACCTATTGTAGAACAATTATTATAAACATATGTAGAAAACCTACAGCTAGCCCAGGGTCCAATGTTTAAAAACAGAACTAAAAGGGGCTTTAAAACATTCTGGATGCGAGTTTGTACTGTCAACATATAATGTAAAGTTGTGGGTAAATGTACCATGAATCCATTCCCAAGGCATGTGCAGAGCAAACAGGAAAGCTGGGCACCAAGCTGTATGTGGTTGGAAAGTGCAAAGGAAATAGTGTGTTTGCTGAAACCTAATCGATATTTCACAACTCTTTTTCCATTGGTTGCTTGGGGCAGAAGGATGTGTGAGTTCTGGATGCCACAGATAAATCTTTCTGTGGCCATGTTGTGCTGAGATGGTGAGTGAGAGCCGTGGTTCTGTGCAGGGTGTGTGCTGTCAGTGTTTTAATGAGCTCTGCTCCGAAGGCTCCCAGTGATGCCACTGGCTGTCCCCCGTGGGCTGGTGCCAAAGGGCCACCCCTGCCAGCCCTGCTGTCCCTCTGCCCCCCAGACAGGAACAGCATGGAGGGCAGGGGTGCCAGTACCCCAAATAACCATTTGATAACCAAAGAAAATTCTCCTTCCTGGGCTACACGTGCCTTTTCTACCAATGGCAATTAATGCTTTTTACCTTGTGTTAGTTAATGATTGCTGGTTTATTTAATAGATTGGACACAAAATAAACACGTTAGTTTGCTATTGACCTATCAATTATGATGTCTGATTACCCCTCTGGGGAGCACAGGTAGTCATTTGTCCTGACATTTTGTTAAAATGCGTGGTATTATGGGACCAATCCCCCCTAATTCCTCACTCCCTGGGGCCGTTTAGTGTACTTAGCTGTAGAAAGGTGATTTCTGGAGCATGACAGCTGTTGGTGCTGGGGCCATTGTGTGGGGAACAAAACGGGTTATATTCTGCTCATAGGCTGCTTTTGTGTCACTGATACAGAGGCCATTTCATAAATGAGACACAACTCTTCCCAGGGAAATTGTATTCCCGCTTTCTTTGCTGCAGTGCATTAAAATAAACCACCAGCACAGCAGCAGAAGGAGATGTTTGAGCTTGGCATTGCCTTAAGGCCTGTTGGGTTTATGCTGATGGCATTCCTAGCTATTTTCATTGATTAGGTACATTACCAGTAGTTTCTTTTCATGGTTTTTACCATTTCATTAATTTAATAAGAGCTGCATTTCAGCACAAACATCACTGAATCATTTTTCCTCCAGAAGTCATTGCTTTTCTAGAAAGTTGCAGGTCTGTGTGTGCAGCAAGACGCAGCCTGTTAGAATTGCTGTCTGCCAGTCCCAGGAATGTGAATACCAAGGTGAGGGCACAGACTATTCCACAGCTGACTGTGGGACTGGGAGAGCTCCACACGTGTCAGCACTGGCAGAGCAGCAGCTCCTGTAGCTGGGGTATAACCATTTAGTGTGTCAGAGTTTGATTTCAGGTAGTGGGGGATGTCTGTAATACTTGGCAATGGTTCTTCTCATTTCCTAAAATCTCCTCAAAAGATGTACACTTCCAGGGAAACACATGGGGCTTTTTCAGTTTCTGAAACGTGGAAGCGTTCTAGACGTAGTCTGTATGATTTAATTTATGATTCAAACTCTTTTTGCTGGCAGATCCTTGTGTAAGGGGTGTTCAGACGTTTCCAGAGCTCTGGGTTTGAATGGGATTCTGGAGGTTCTCTGTGGGGACTTGGCTATGTCCTGTGTAACCCTGGTTTGGAGCAGCAGGGTGGTTCTGTCCCTCACCCAGGCATTCTTCCCTGTGGGCCTGTGCTGGCTGCCACCCAGCTGACCTCTGTCAAGCACCCACCCTGGGCTGGCAGACTTTTTGAGATATCTTCTGGAATTTCCCCAGGGCAGTCCAGCCCCTGAGATGAATGTGGCTCACCACTGGATGTCATTGTTGCACTGTGGTGAACTGCAGCTCAAAGAACATTTATCTGGCAGTAAAAAATAATGTTGCCTGGCCAAAGGTGAGATTGAATCTTTCCACATTCTGAATGACTTGCTGTGCAGTTGTACCATGGGGCAGGGAGTTGATCTATAATGCTTCCTTAAGGGACGGGACAGCGCTCTAGTACTGGAGTTGCACGGTGTGGTGGGGCTGTGCTGAAGCCTCAGCTGTGGAGCTCCACCACTGCAAAGACATGGCATGAAAGATCTCTTGGGGATCTCAATGTGCCACGTACTTATTGAGAAAGCCCATGTAATTACCCACAGCTTTCAAAGTAAGTACTTACTCTTCATCTATTGAGTTACTCTATCAGCTGATACATAGAGAATATATTTCTACTCTACCTCCATAGAAGGAGTTTAGAGGACTTAATTTTATTAGTGCTGTCTCCTATTTGTAGTGGAGGAAAACCTGTTAGAAGCCTTAGATTGCTTCCTTCCCAAGTGCCACAGCAGGAATTTATGCAAGTGTCTGACAAACAACAGAAGCAGCTCCATTTTGTATTGGTCTTCCCAGTGCATTTATGAACCTTCAGTTACCCATTCTGTGAAATGGGAACGTAGGCAACCCTGAGCAGTAGGAAAAACACAAAGAGATGGAAAATATTTCCTTGTCTTTCATCAGAAATCTGAAAGCTAAATATAGTTAAGGTGAAAAAAACCCCTGTCAAATGCAGTAATATGTCTTGTCTCTTAACTGCATATTTGTTTGGAGGATCTCTGTTAGGTAGTGAGACCTAGAGACGCATTGAAAAAACCAAATGGAGTTTGGGGGAAAAAAAAAATGGAAAGAAAAAACATGGAGTTTATTCCCCGAGTTGGAATGTGCATGAAGTGGTGTGGAAGCTGAAATTAGTAATTACCAATGTGGCAGTAAGATTTGTGACTGGACTGCTGGTCCCAGTGTCATTGAGGTACTCCTTCACTCATGTGGCAGCCTGGCTTTCCAGGTAGCTGCTCTGTATTTAAGAAAAGAGAAGGATAACTTTTGGAAAGGGGGTTTTCAATTAAACACACAAAACCACTTGAAATAGACGTTCCTAATTAATTTACAAGTAAAACCATTTCCATAAATAAACCAGCAAGAGTAAAGATTGCTCTAGGAGGTATAAAAATGGCCTTAGCAGTATGTAAATACAAGTTCTTGAGGTGTTTGATAAATGGCAGTGAGTGATAGCAGAGGCAGTGTTTGGTCTTCTCCTGCAAGGATTCTAGAGCATCTTGCTCTGGAGAAGCCAGACCATTCAGCTCTTGTCATTTTCTGTGACCTATTAAATGTGCACATATTCCACATATTTTAGTACACCTTACCTGGTGCCGTGCACAGAAAAATGGTATTAGTCGTGTCAGTGACCATAAGAAGTTTTGTGTGAATGCAAGGTAATGCATCACTGAGATTTTGATTCCTAGCAGGCTTTGACTATTGTTTTTAATGTATTTCTGTGTCTTACAGCTGAAATATTCTTTGAACCACACAAATCGAAAACTGGTGCTGGAATCAAAAGTGTGTATCAACAGTAGAATCGTGGTGGTTGGTGCATCTGATGTTGGAATCTCTTTTCTGGAAACGCTGGTGTTTTGGTAAGTTTTTAATTTTATTTCCTTTGCTGAAAAGAATGTGTTCCCTCTTGTATGAAGGGGGTTGTTTCTTGCATTTAAAGCGTTCCTTGGGTCCGTCTCAATATGTTAAATATCTGAGTACCTGCAGATGGAGGGATGGGAGCTGGCATCCTGGGTGCATCCTGGGACTCACAGGATTCCAGGCAGCTCCCAGCTGCACGAGGATCCTTAAGGTGAAGGCGCAGTGAAAGTGAGAATTGAAAACACCTAAAGACGCTTTGGCCATGGGTCTTCAACCACAATCTTGTGGGGAGAAGTGGAGTCAATGGCCCTTGGCGTGTGTTCCCAGCAGTGTTCACCTCTAAGTCCAGTGGTCCCTGGTGGGTTCCCAAACCTCTCTGAATCCCCCCTTCCCTGAGTCTAGGGCAGGGAAAGCTTGGATGAGCTCTGCTGTGGAACAGCCTTCCCAGCACGAGGACAAGGTGCTCTCCCTGATGTCTCACTCTTGTACTCCCCAGGGGCTTACTGGGGAGTCAGACTGTCAGAGTGCAGTTCCCTTGATGCAGTTTTATCACACTTCCTAGAAATGTCATGAAAGACTTGCAGAAATGAATATAAAATTCAAAATCTGAACATGATTCTTACAAGGTGCAACAAGAACTGAGAGAGTCTGGTACTTTTATGGGGGGTGGAGAATGGAAAATTCCACCTTTTTTTCTTTTCTCAGTTAAGCCAGGAGTTTGTATTTCTACAACAACCATTGATAACATCACAAATGATATTTTCAATCATGAGGAGAGGAATAAGTTGAAGTGCATTATAGATGTCGTATTGCTGGAGCAGTGCAGAAGAAAATTTCTGCTTCTTGCCCTTCTCTTAGTTTGTGACTTCCCATAAAGCATTCCAGAGTAAATATCAGAGTAAATAGTTTCCTCTCATCTTCCTGTTCTCAGAACCCTTTAGGCTTTCAGTTCCACCCCAAATTCAGTCAAACGTGTCCTTTAGAGCTTCTAACCCATTTCTTGCTGCTCACCCTGTGCTGTTGGTTGCTGCTATTTCGTTATAAAGCCCTGTGGGGAAGCGGAAGCGTGTTGGTGCTCCAAGGGCCGAGCCTTTGCAGGGCTTGAGTTTGGTTCAAACTCTGGCAGAGCTGCTGTAGGAAATGTCCTCCTTGAGCCTGTCTTGGCACCAGCCTCAGACATGGGGTGCTGCTCAGAGAACCACCGAGCCAGCAGGCAGCACTTAATGCAGTGTCACAGAATTTATATTAATAGAGGTATAAATTTGGGAAAGATTAGTTTTTAATTTTCACATCAGCAGCAAATAGCCTTCTGATCAATGTGAAGGCCTTTTAAAACAATTTAGTTTAATTTACTCATAATTTTCTAATATTCCCTGTAAAGGTTACATGCACTAAAAATAGCTGGATTGAATCAATTTGTGAGCCCTAATCCTTAAAAAGAGGAAGTAATTTTCTCATCGTTATTCTTCATACTTAATTATTTTACATTACCAGTCACCATGGAAACACACAAATGTAATTCACTTACCGATGTGGCAATTATTTGAACTGGATCTTGCAAGTGTTTTCAACTTCTTTGGGACCGAAGAGACACGTGTTTCATTAGCAGAGAAATGACCTGGCAGTGCTGTGGGTGGGCAGCACATGCAGGATGCACAGGGATTTTTTGGTTTCTTTAGCGGAGGGCCGAGTGGCTGCTGCAGGGGCAGAGCCTGGTGCCTGGCCAGCTGGGAGTGTGACAGTGGCTCTGGGGGTGCAGGGGTGACAGTGGGTGGGTTCTTATTTGGTTGGTTGGTTGGTTTGGGTTTGTTTTTTCTTCGTTCCTTTGTTAGTTTCAAAGGGATGGGCAGGGCAGCAGGGTTAGACCAGAAGGACACAGGATTACAAACCCCAGCGTTTCCACTTAATCCCAGGGGCTGGTTCCTGGAGCAGAATGCAAACCCAGGCAGCAGGGATGGAAGCTGGGTTTAAGGATCTTGGAGGTTGCTACCAGCAATGTCCTGTCACTGGTTCCAGTGCAAGGAACCCATTGACTTTTATTTACTTCTGTGCATGTAGCTGTGGAAATCACTATTGTCTTCGATTATAGGGAAAACTGTTTTTAATCCGTGGTTTTGAAAACCTCCTTAATCCAAGCCCTGATGTAAACAATGACTTATTCTCTGAGGATGTTGGAATAGACATAACATGCTACACGAGATAGCCATAAATGAATGGTGCCTAAAATCACAATATTGCACATGAAATTGTTATGGAATCTATTTCCTTCTCCCTGTGGGCGCATTAAAATAACGATTGCACTTAAGAACCAGATGGATTAAAGTACATTTTTGTCAGAGCCGTGAATTTTTTTCTCAAAGTAGGATTGGAATCCAGCACAGTAAGCCTGCATTGTTGGCTGCAGGACGGTGTCTCCCACGGGGAGCTCGCCAGGATCAGCTCCGAGGTGCAGGGTTTGAACAGGGTTCCTGTCGAGCCCTTTATCTGGCAGCACCGGGGCACACAATATCCTGCACATCTGGCCTGTTTGGCTCTAGTTAGTATAATGCTTGCTGCTTAATTAGGCTTTTTATCTTTGCATTTGTCTGGGAACATCTGAAGCCTTCCACGTTGCCTGTCACTAATTAGTTGACTAATTAAATAGTTAGTGCTTACTTGCTGATGACAGAGCTAACATGCAATGAATGGGTTAGAGATGGCCATTGTTGTGTCCTATCTGTCTCTGCCACATGAGCTGACACTCGTGTGCTTCCCTGTGCCTTCCCTGCAGAGCCAGGCGAGCCCGGGCCGTGTGCTCGGTGTCACCGGGCCCGCGTCCCTCGGTCATTGTTGCCTTCCCTCGCCTCTGCTGAGCGCAGCTCAAGTTGTGACAGAGATAAATCAGACGGGTCAGAGCTGGCCTTGTCGCGCAGTCGGCATCACAATGAAGGCTGGCAGTGACTGATACCAGATGTAAACAGGGGAGAGGGTGTGGGTCAGGATCAGCCTTCCAACAGCCTCTGCCAGAAAATGAGACTCAATTAGCATCAATATGGGCTTATTTCATAGTTACAGTCTTGCTTTTGAGACTCTCTGTGGTTCAAAATAAGATTATTTCAACTTGAAATACTTTCCCTTTGAACACATGCAAACACTTCTCTGAGCCCAAACTGTTCTTTCACACTTGAAATTTGTAGGTATTTGTAGATTTTTCTCTTGTTACTATTTATGCTTGAATACTCCTAACTTCTTGGTGAGTGTTAAAGCTGATCTTGGAAATAGTTGTTTTCTCATAGAAAGCCTTCTCAAAAGCAGAATGAGTCACGAGGGTTTTTATAGAATGCTGGGCTGCATCCGTCATCCCCTCCTGGTGACTCTGCAGGACATCCACAGCTCTCAGCCTGTAACCTGGTACCCCTGGTGGATGCAGTTCAGAGCAGATACAGCAGCGTTCCAAGTCTCCAGCTCTCTGCTAAAGCCATGGAGGAGATGTCATCCCTTCCTCCTGTGTTCATATATAGCGTGGTTTGAAGTCTGTTCGCAGAGCTGTAGAGGAGGTGCAGTGCTGAGCCCTCCAGAGCGGTCTCCAGGCTGGCTGAGGGTCGGCTTGGAAGCACAGCAGACTGAGCAGGCTGCTGCAGTGGAGAGAAAATGACTTGTCTGGCTATGCTGTGACCCTTCCCACTAGTGATTAGCGTGGATTTGATTCCTGTTTGTGTGTGTTTGCTGAGGGCCAGAGTCAGGGTGCTGACATGTGGAGGTTGCTAATTGAAGGATGGATGTTTGGCATCAGTAGTTTTGGCCCAGCTGACTCCTCTGCCAGCTGTGTCCCTGTTCTTCCTGGGCTGCCAGGACTTAAATTGTGAGGACCTGGCACTGGGGGATGCCTCAGAACATGTAACTTTGGTGAGTTTTGTGTTCTCCTGCTGGTAGGACGAGCACACGTGGTTAAACCTCAAACCTGCCTGGTTTAAGGGCGGCCTGCCTGGTGGCATCTGGGAACATTTCGAGGGTACCCACTCTGAAGGCAGCATTGCCAGATTTGCACCAGGCTACATCATGGAGGCAGAATACTTTTCTCCTCTGTAATAGTTTGGAAAATTGAAGTCTAGTATACAGCCATAAACCCCCACCACCTTAGCTTTAAACATGGATAATTGGCCAATAATATCGAAAATGTCCTATTAGCAAGCTGGTGTCTGCACTGTGTGTTACTCACTGAGGCACTCACACAGCAGTGGGCAAAGCAGTGAAGTTTCTACCACACTTTAGTTTTACTGTCCAATTTATAGTACCTTTATTTGTGGAAAATGCTGTTGATGTCTCTCAACTGCGATTTGGAATTTGCAAGGTCATTAAACAGCAAGAGACTGTAAGTACCAAGGCCATCATCAGATATCCCTCATTTTCTGTCTAGAAAAATAATTGCCATTTTTGAAGAAAGCGAAATGCTGGAGCACTTGTGGAATGGAAGTTGGAATTTTAGGAAGGAAGTGCTCTCACTGAAGCAGTGGTTGGATGGTGCTTTGATTAGACTCCAAGCTAACTTAGATTTGGGATGGCAGGAGTGCCCTTGTGAGCGCTGTAGCTGTGGAAGGATATGGATGGGTCTGATTTAGCTCTGTGAGTGGGCCAGGAAAAGAGCTCTTTAGATTTCCTTGCCCAGTTACAGAACAATTCATACTGTAGGAACCTTGCTATGTTGATTTTAGTAACCTAGATTGAGAATGCCACAGATCTTGAGTGGATGCACTGATTTTTGTAAGCAAAATCAGTTGCTGGGAGGTGAGAGGGGACTGGAAGGGACAAAAACGGTGGCAGCAATAGGAGGGGGCAGAGGTGTTTCAGAGCAATGAGTTATAAGGTGGATGGGAGTTCAGAAGAAGAAACTGGAAAAAGACATGTTTGGTAATGTTCAGCGAGAAATCAAGATTGTAGACTGATGTAAAGCCACCCAAAAAACTAGGCATTAGCAAAGGAATTGGAAAGCAACAGAGTCAGAGTTGCTGGTGTGTTTAATTATATTTCTGGGAAAAGGATCAGCACAGAGGATGAGAGAGATGCAATATAAGCACAGTAAAATAACCACAGAGAAGGAAATCACTTGAAGGGGGAAGAGTGAGAAGAGTAGTTCATACAACCTAGAAGGATAATCCAAATTTAACTGGAGAGGAACAGCTTCTGGGCAGGATTGCCCTGGGTTTGGCTGGGATAGAGTTCATTTTCTTTTAGCAGCTGTGTTTGGACTGAGTATGAGAATAATGTTGAAAACTCACTGATGTAATTGTAACTAAATAGTGAACCATCAAGTTCAAAGTTCAATAAGAGACCCAGCTACCAGTGGAGGAGAGAGAACCACTCCCAGCATCCTTCAAGGGTGTTAGCCCAAGGGTGAAGGAAATGTTCTTTAGTTCCTTAATGGATTCTTGCTAAGATGTTAAAAATGGTGACAGTGGCCTGGGCTTAGAGGTTGCTCTTCTTAGGATGACAGGATCTGATAAAATTACCAATCAGCCTGCCAGGAAGTTTCTGAAAACAAAAAACAAAAAAACAAAAAACCAACCCAAAACAAAAAAAAAACAAAACCAAAACAAAGCAATAAAAAGCCCCACTAAGCACTGTTTTATCAAAATAGAAGTTTTAGAAGAGACCATGTTATTTTAATACCAGAAGGAAGGAACTGGGGCATGATGAAATACTTTGCTGAGAGAGGAAGAGTTGTCATGGAGCAGGTTGTGTGGAAAGCCCCTCCTTGACCCCTGCATTGACAAGTGTCCCAGGAAACACTGTGCTGTTATCCCTTCCTTTGTTGAGCAAATTCATTCACAATCTTAACACTTTTTCCTGAGGTTGATCCAAGGGAGAACTGGCTAATCTTTGTTTACTGGTAATTGGAGAGGGATAACTTGGAGATGGACATCTGTTGGTCAGCAGTGAATGTGGCATCCTGCTCTGGGGGCTGTAATTGATGCCCTCGGAGAAGATTCTGGAGAAGAGGTGCTTCTGGTAGGTGTTGATATGAACAACAAACCCTTCTGCTGCTGCTGCTGCAGCCAAGGACAGCTGTCTGGGGAGGCACAGGCAGCAGAGGGAAGGGAAAGCGCTGGGGCTGGTGAAGGAATTGGGTGGAGGGACAGCATGGGAGTGACATTGCTTGGAAAGGAGATCCAAGCCCGGCTGTGGTGCTGAGCAGCACATTTATCCTGGAGGGACAGCTTGGGTGAGGGCTGTTTCTTTCTAGTTACTCAGAATGGGCAGCCTTTGTGAAGCTGGGCATTTCTAGCTGGAGCTCGCTGTGCAGCTGGGAAATCTCTTGGAATACCTTTTCCTTTTGGAGAGGTCTCTTCTGCAAGTTGTGTCCTGACTGCTGTTTTCTTGAACTGTTTCCTTAAAATGGATAAATTGTTACATTTGCAGTGAAGAGGAGAACTTGTCTCCATCTGCCTTGTACAAGAGTGACACCTGGACACGCGAGTTCCTGTGCCTTGAACACAGGTTTTAGCCTGTTGGGACTCTTTGATCATCAGCTCTGCTTCTGGGCTCCTTCCCCCCCACAAAAATATTAGTGTTTCTCTTTTGTTTCAGAACAGAGATTTTTCTGATTTAAAAGTCATGTTAATGCAAGACTTTATCACATCCTACATTTCAGCATTTAGGGCTGAAATCAGATTTCTTTCTTTTTTTTACCATTTTCAGAATGATCTTAAACAGACATTTTTATAAGGGCTTTGCTGCAGTGAAGCTGAGGATCCAGTGTCACCAAGACTTTACTTTTGGATAGGTTATAATTTCAGATATTATTGTTTAAAGATTATGTACACAGGAGAACAGTTCATGTAGTTAGCAATAAAGCATCATCTTCTGTCACTCCTTTATTATAGTTTTTATTGATTGGGAAAATATTCTTTTTGAATCGGGAAAATATTTTTATTGACTGGGAAAATAATCTTAAATGTAAGATTTGCAAACAAAAAATAAAAATGCAAAGAAATGCAAATAAATTGAAATAAATTGAAATGCTCAGGTTCATGGAGACTACTTCACTGCACTTTTTTTTGTATCAAAAGTGATTTGACTTGTGATAATGAGTAGTTTAATGAAAGCAATTAATTAAATTATTTGTTCAGGCAATTTTCCACTGTCTCTAAGCCTCCATCATTATGCCACACACAGAAGGAAAAAAAAGGTAGCAAGACATCAGGCAAAAAAATCCAGCAAAATGAGCAAGGAATACTTTAACAGATTCACAACCACCAGGATATATGTGAAAACTGGACTAAAACTTTTCTGTGTCCTTTTGATTATGCTCAGTAAATTGATAACCCTGCTTTATTTTGAGGACAAGGGTGTTCAGACTCTTTTTGTAGCTGTCCTCTAGAGCTGTGCACTGAAACCCAATACCTTTTACTTATTTCCCTAGATACTCTAATCCCTCCCTGCTTTACCAGTATCTTTGAGCTGTTCTTCCCTCTGTATCCACAGCAACGTGAATCCCTGCTGGAATTATTTGCTTCTAAAATGCAGGTGCACTTGTTTAGCACTGCTTCAGGCTCTTAACTTGAGGACTTTTTTCGCCAAACGGGAACCTCCCGTTCGCCAAACTCCACTTTGCCCTGTTTTGTGTCGGGCATTGTTGTATTTATCAGCAGCATCTGAGTCAGCCCCTGTCCTGACAGCACTGCCCGCATCCAGGACCTCGGCTGTTCTTCACTTAAGAGCTTTTCGGCACCAGTAAGGAGTCAAAAGCCGTAGAAAATGAGCCATCCTTTTGTTCACCTAGAAATAATAAAGCTCAGAATCCCCCAGCTGTCCCCCCGTGGTGGCTGTGCCGGTGGCGGCAGGACCTGCCCGGGGATGCCAGCCACCCTGCTCCAGGGATGCCAGCCACCCTGCCCCGGGCATGGCTGCTCCTCCATCTGAAGGACAAAGCAAAGGTACCACTCGTTTTGTCTCCCTGCAGCCAAGGAGATGCTAATCAACATTTTGGTGCCTACGAGATGAATGAGTGGGAAACGTGAATTAATGTCTGGGGCATATGGGGATGCCATGGGAGCGCTGAGGTAGAAGTAAGTCAGTAGTCAGTAAATGGTACTGACTGAAAGGTCTGATTGAAGCCTCCCGCTCAGTGGGGAAGAAGGGAACAAATACCATATAACTGGGGAAATCCTGGATGCCTGCGTGTGGACTCAATAGAGGTAGAGCATCTGCAGAGGAAAATGACATGTGACCAGATCAATAAAGTGCATCGTTGTGCAGTCATGCAAAAGAGGCACATTAATGGTGCCTAGAACTTGGATTCTGCCATGTTGCTGATGCTGGCTCACAAGGTTTCCATCCTAAGCAGTAATATTTAAACATGATGTTACTGTAGCCCCTGGATTCCAGCACCTGTTGGCAAGAGGCCATGCAGTGTGTACAGATGACTTCAGCTCCACCCTGCAAGGCAATCTCCTTGCTCTGAGGATGGGAGGACGTGTAGGGTGTTTATGTCATTTATCCCAAGTAAATGAGTGCCAGGGAGCTGTGCTCTGTCGGTGTGTGAAGCTCCTGTGGTTGTTGTTCACACCCCAAGCGTGGTGCTCCCGGTGTGCAGATGGCATCACTCGTACACTCTGCTTTCAGCTTCGTGGATCAGGCTCACTCTCATTTACATTAAAGACCATTTTGTATCACTCAGGCAGCATAAGGTGGCCATAAATGAAAAGCAAATTCTATTTACATCCACCTCTGCGGAGTGACCTTAATTTAAATGAGAATCAGGCCCATAATCTGTATAAATATATGCACTCTGTTACATTAAGGTTATTTATTACTTTGTGCTTGGCTTGAGTATGCATGGAGATTTACCACAGATAATCCATAATCCAGAATTAAACTATTAATATGCATTTTGAGAGGGGCAGCCATAACCTTGAAATTCCTTGGTTTAAGTATGACCTTTAACTTTGTTTGAATATATTTTTTAAATGTATGAATAACAAATTAACATTGGTTGATAAAAAACATTCTGATTCCTTTGTACCATTTGCATCAGTCCATCCTTAACTTAGAGAAAGCCTTGAAGATTAGAAGGCTTAATCACTCATAATATTTATTTGTTTTCAAATGTCAGATCACATTTAGTTCAACATACTGTCAGTCTTGTCCCCCTCCTCGCCCCGGCATCGCTGAAACTGTGGTGGAAATTGTTCTTCTCTTTGTATCCAGAGACACCTGCACCTGAGCAGAGTGAAGCACTCTGTCCCTGTGTAAAGGAATTGCTTTCTGTATCCTTCTGAACATGGAATTCTGAGCTATGCCGTTCCATTGACATGCCCTCCGAATTTTTTCCAACTGGGGCTGTTTGTTTTTCTTCCCACAGGCCACGTCTGAAGTTCAACAACCTGACCTTGATTTCCATTCACGGCCTTCCAGGAAAAGACCCAGAGAGCTCCAAGTATAGAAGATTTTTAATTAACAGGTTTGACTCCTAACACTAAACACTTCCGTAGCTCCTGCAGAAAACATAACACTTTGTAATTCTTGTGAACTCGTCCTAAATTTTGGATCCATCCGTCGAGAGCCCCAGAATACTGCAGTCAGTCTATCCAGCGTGCACTCACCTACAAGAGGAGACAGACAGAATTCTGAGTAGGGAAACAGCGCCAAAGCAGTAACTTCAGGACAGCAATCCACTGTGTCACACCTGGACAGTACCTGGGCTCTGTTTTCCGAGGCTTTTTAGATTGTTTAAATCTCCAGGTTGATGACAAATGGCACAGGATGTCTGCTTGCTTTTAAAATCTTGTTTGCCTTTTAGCTTCCATGAGTTTTGTTCTAAATAATGCTGAACCAAAGAGCATACAAGAGTTAATGTTGGTAACGTGGCAGGGACTGACTCAGAGCAGCATGTGGTGGGATGCAGAGCCCAGCAGTGGTGGTGGGGATTTTGCTGTTGCTGTTGATGAGTTTGGCAGAGCTGTTGTGCATCAGTCCTGCTGCTCGTGGTCTGCCCGTGCCAGTCTGCCCTCAGTCCCAGGCACAGCGCTGGGTACAGCCAAAGGGAAATGGTGGAAGAGCCTTGTCTAGGGACTGTCAAACACTTTAAGGGCTTCCTTGTTTGCCAGTAAATATAATAGCTTCCATTTAGTCAGAGAAAATCTTATCTCTTTAAAATTCACAGTACGTAATTCTCATTTAAGTACAATATTTGTGGGTTTTGTTTTGGAATAAATCATCACCGTGGACTTGATCATGGTTGTTTTGAACATTGAGAAGCATAGAATTAAAATGGATCAGTTATTCTGAACAGTTGGGGAATGAACTTAGTATAAGTTATTTAGATTTGGCGTGTGACTCTTTGGAGCCTTCACATTGTATTTTACCAAAACTTTTCCTCAGTGAGCTGCAGTGCACTAAAGGGCTGGCTCTTTAAATGACAAAACATCTCCACGTCTGCTTGCTGAACCTTACAAATGAAATCTCTACAAAGATGTGAAAATAGTGTAGTGGGAACCTGTTTAAAGCTATCTGATCTCATTAGGAATTTTGCCCTGACAAGGGATTTTGTGTAAGTAGTTACCTTTATTACTTTTTGTACTGTAGAAAGGGTGTGTTCAAGTGCAAATCTGGCAAATGAAAGAATTACATTCTCACATAAATGCACAAAGTCTTTTTCCCCAAGTTCACTGTAGGAAAGAGTTGTACTAACAAAGCATCCTCCCTGACAGAAAGTTGCGGTTCAGAGCCGCCTCACCAGATTTAGCTGTTAAAATCTGAAAGCAGATTAAGAGTGAAAATTGAACTCTGCAGGGTATGATTTCTGAAAGCATCCCTGTGATTTTGAGTGTCAGTCTCCTGGGAGCTGTGCACCTCAATTATAGAGGTGCTTTTGAAAACCTTCCTCTGTCCTTAATGTCCATTTTATTTATAGATCTCTGCATTATTACAGCTCAGAATTGTCAGTGGTTTTCCTGCCTTATTTATTTTCCTCTGGTATCTGTGAGTACAGAGAATGCAGGGTATCACAGAAAGCCTGGCAATTCAATCCTAAAATTCCCCTGGTTTGTGAAATCAACCTGTATTTGTTCCTGTGGCATCCTGATTGTCGGTTTTGGGAGTTTGGTAGCAAGGATTAGCGTGGAACCAGGAGCACGCTGTGGGGATGTGTGGCTTGGTATTAATGGCAAAGCAGCAGCTGTCAGTGCTGGTCTCTGCCTGCACTCTCTGCTGCAGCCACAGAAATGCATCAAATGCTTGAGAATGTCTTCTGTTTAATCACTTGGAGGCCTGTGGGAGAAAGTGGAATAGTTTTCATTGCTAAGTGTACCTAGAAAGTCAAGTTTTTGGGTCTCCAAAAGGCCATGAGCTTAGTTTGGCAGGTGGAATGTGTTTTCTTGGTGACTTGAGCTGACGGCCTGGGTGAAGCCCAGGGTCTCTGTACTGGCCATTCCCCTCCTGAGATCCTGGCAGGGGTGAGACTCTGCTTCTTTCAGTAGTTTGTTCAGTGTTTCTTGTTGCTGTGCTGCTGTGGTCTCACAAACCAGACACCTGTGTGAAGGGCTGGTGAGCCCTTCTTTTTTTTGCTTGTTTTGAATCTGTTGCATTCTTTTTCACTGGACCCCGTGGGTTTATTGCTCTGCAATGTGTTTGTCCAGTTCTATGGAAAGAACCTGAGTGACCAGGATTTGGCTGGTGCAGGTTCTCAGTGTTGGGGAGGGATGGAGTTGAGCCCAGCTGGATCTGCACAGTGGCCAGTGACCTCTTGTGCGTTTCCTGCTGGGTCACTGCTGGGCTCAGCGGTGTTCAGGGGCCACCATGGACCTAGCTGGGGATGTTCCCTCCCTGGTTCTCCTCTCGTTTTGTGGCCATGTCTGTTGCACATCTGTATGGAAGTATTTTATCTCCAGGAGTCTTTGTCTTTGCAGAGGCTCTTATTAAGCACAGAGGGTGGTACCAATGCAGTAATATGTATGTGTCCTGGTATTTACCTGGTCAGACATACTTGGTTGGGGGCACACTCCAAGCCTTAAAAGACCTTTGGAAATAATTGTAATTTTCATTACTGAGGCAATAAAAGAGGTTTTGTTCCATTTGGATTTTGCTTTAAAATTGGCTTTTTAAAATAGCAGCTTCCAGATCTTTGATACTTCTCTCACACATAGGGGTGTGCTTTTTACTTGGAACAGGCTGTAACACCCCTAAAACATGAGAGAAGCAAACCTTGTCTGAGACTGTCAAAGCCAATGCATGATTTTAGGGTACTGACATGGAATTCACACTGTCAGAGCACGTTGCTTGTGATGTGTGCTCCGTGCACACCCCAAACATCCTGGAGCGCTCCGCTCAGGACAAGTTTAGTCTGCAGTATTTGTCAGTCTTGCATTTTGGAAAAGTTCTTTCAGAAGAGGGTCACCAACAGGAGACTTAAGATCTCTGCCTTTTACTTCTAGCTCTGACAACCATTTTCCTAGCTTTCTATTTATTTTTAAACTTTCTGGACTAATACGTTGGAATACGGATGCTAAAATGGTAGAGTGCATATTCCCTGTGTTTATGTCTCACCTTAGCTGTGACTGGTGAAGCTGGATAGCAAAGGAAGGAAAGTTGGGGAACAGCTGAATAAGGAAGTCTTGGAGAAAGAATTGGATTATTGAATTATTTTCTTTGCAGGTTCAAAAGCTTCTACCTCGTATGAGCCTGCAAAGGAAAAGCAGAGTAAAGCATAGATTTCTGACTTTGTTCTGAAATTATGTGATTGTAAGGCCCAGTGGTGGAAGGGCTTGTTTGTTTCAGCAGAAAGTTGTCAATTTGTAACTGAGTATCTCCAAATGCCTAATCTTTTACCATAGACTGCCCTAAACTCCCAGCAAGGGAGCAGGGGGAACCACTGGGGGCCCGAGCCCAGCTCACCAGATGTCTAATTAATGCCTGCTGTCAGCTGCCGAAATGTCACTTACAGATACTCTTCTTTCGCAGCCACTGTTTTAATGATGACGATTATGCACAGATGTCACTTTGTTCCTGGGTTAATGTTGTGGTTGGTAAAATGACGAGCATAAACCGCAGTGCCAAATACGTTGTTGTTTCCAAGGAGAAGAAAGTGCCTTACGACTACCTGGTTCTGTGCACGGGACAGAGCTACCAGGTGAGCTGTGTGCAGAGTGAAGGGGCACAGGATTATTCCCAGGTTTTCCACAGGGAGTGGTGTTCCTGAGGTCAGGCAAAGCAGCCTTAGCAGGGGCAGCAGCAGCAGTTTGCAGCCCTGTAGTGCAGCTGGTTGGGCTGTGTTGGTGCTGCTGCTGGAGCTGGAGGAGAGGAAAGGAGGGTCAGGCAGAGTTTCCCACCAGCAGTTACTGCTCAGGGTTGGCCAGGAGGAAAAGCTGCCAGTGTTTTTGCCACCGTAACCATTAAACCTGCTAAGGAGCAGGCTCAGCTGACATGTGGTCCCAGCCACAGGAGACTTAACTCCAGCTGGTCCATCACCATTTGACCTAGTTTTGGAAATGGAGAGAATTCCTTATCAAATTAATTACTCATCTCACGTGATGGCCATGCCTAGGCACATCCACGGTGCTGCTTGGTATTGTAGCACACAGCTGAGTTTCCAGTGAGACTGAAGCAGACCCTTAGCTACACGTAAGATGTTGGATGGAGTCAGCTTCCACTCTGACTCCCTGGGCAGGGTGGCTTCTGGCTCCTGTATCCCCATGAGGCCACCAGGGGATACAACCAAACAGGCAGCTTGATCCAGCCCCCTTGTTGCAGGGCTTTGCCTTACCTAGGTGGTTTGGGGTAGGAGTTGGGAGCAAGGCATTTTGCCTTTGAAATCAGGAGATGGGTGTGAGCAGTGTCTGCAGCTTTGCAGGGCTGTAGCACATCCCCCAGCGGTGTCTGGCTGCCTGTGTGCAGCAGGCTCTGGGGTCTGGGAGCCTCCTCAGGGCACAGCCATGCTTAAACAGCAGCCCATGGGCACTGCTCAGCAGGGATGAAACAAAAGCCAAAGTGTGGGCTGGAAAAGCGCTCCTAGGAAAAGGTGTTTGGAGGTAGCTCTGACTTGCAAAATAATTTATGTCAAGTAACTGCACTGGGGGAGAAAAGATGAAGATGGCAAGGGAAAAGGCAGGTTTTATATTTGCCTTTGAGAAGAAATCTCATCATCATCTATTCTCACTTTCAAGCTATACAAAAGGATAAGAAATTAGTGGCTTCTGTTTTATTACACAGAGCTCTAGTCCATCCTTTTTTATAAGCTGTTCCTTATTTGGTAAGCAGTCAGATTAATGCTTAGTAAAACATTATGTGTTATGATTTGGAGATTTACTTGTTGAGTAAGATCTTTCGGTGTCACGCCTGGTTTTATACGACCCAGCAGTATTTCAGTTGATCTGGCTGGCAGTGAGAGCAGGCTTCAGGACGTGGCTCAGTGGTGCTGAGGAAGTCCGAGACAAGATTCCCTTTTTGCTTTGTACAGCTCAGATCGAGTTTGTTATTGTAAAGCAGCATTACACAGTGTTACTGAATCTTCACATTTGAACCATCAAGCAGGTTTTGATTCCTTTCTCTGGGACAAAATCAGTCGTTTTAGAGGGCTGATTTTTGCTGACAAAAGGTGGAGGCAGTGTGCTCCACAAAGACTTTCCAAGGGCCATTTTAAGTGATCTGTTATTCAGAGAGCTGCTGAGATCCCCTGCTGTGTGTTGGGACATTTGTGCTGTTTGCCATGTGCCTCCACTTGCGCTGGCAGCGCTGTTTGGAGTGGTCAGCCACATCCTGCAGGAAATAGGGAGCACATGCTCTGAGTGTACACTCAGGTCAGTGGGATCAGCGTTCCCTGTGCCCCTGGGTGTGTGTGCTGCTGCTGAGGGTGACATTGGGACGTGCCAGAGCAGCAGCCCTGGGGTAGCCAAAGTGAGAGGGTGTTTTACCATCTCCAAGGTCTGTGCCTTATATCCACTCACCGCCTCATTCCCGCAGGCCTTGGCCCCCACAGGAGCAGATAGCACTGAAGTCACGAGTCAGTGGCCACAGAGATACACGGAGAAAGTCCCTTCCAACCACTTCACTCTCAACAATTCCCAGGACTGCTCGGAGGCAGCACGCTGGCTGCAGGAAAACCTCGTCAGCTCCAGAGGTAAGGGGCTCCCTTAGTACCTGCACTTACAGAAATGCTTCTTAGGCTTATTAGTTCCTCTCTTCCCTGGTATAATTGGTGCCTGATGAATTCTAACAAAGTCTTTCATCTGCTGTGCTTTGTTTTCTAGATTAATTTACAATTTTTTGTTATTTTTGATACCCAGCATACTTAGCTGGGAAAGAAAGGTTTGAGATAGATTAATTATCTGCAGTTATTATATAAAACTGAATGAGTCCCAAATGCAAATCTGTCCAGAGTCATTAATTAGCTAATGAAATAATAATTTAATTACTGGATGTGGTTTTCTGCTGTATAGAAAGATATCTAGATTTGTGGCATAACAGAAAGTAAATAAGTCTAAATTAGGAAGTGTCTGTCAGCATTGTATTCAGTTGCATAAGATTTTCACATAGGACTGCAAGTTCCTGGTACTTTTTAACCCTTTATGCCGATGTGCACCATCCCTGTATTTCCTCAGCCTTGTTGTGTGTGCTCTGTTCGTCTGTTCTCTAGTTCATCCACTGTGTGTGCGCTGTGGAGAGCACTCAGCACCATCCAGCTTTCTGAGTCAGCTTTGAACTAGAGAAACAGAGACCAGAGAGTCAGTGAGTTCATCAGGTGTCAGTTCCTGCTGTGTCTGAGCCAGGACAGTTCAGAGCAGGAAAGCTGTCTTTGTGGGGAATTCCTGCTGGCAGAGTGCAAGAGCAGGACTCTCCTGAAGATGTGTTTGTGGAGTGCCATGGGAATTGGCAGTGATTCAGTGTGGTGCAAGGTTCACATCTGCTTGGCAGTCCTTGAGGGAAGTTCTAAAAACGCTGGAAATGCCTTTATCATCCTCCAGGTCTTGCTGTGATCAGCAAGGGGGTCCATAAAGGTGGCAGTGTTTCTCAGCCAGCAGTCTGGCTCTGCCTGTCCTGCAGTGCCAGGTGTGCGGCAGCAGCTGGCTTTGCACAGACACGTGAGGGTGTTAGCTTTCCCTTTTGCTGCAGCTGGTCCTTCATGTGTGCCCATCCTGGCAGGTGCTCCCTGCAGGACGTGCCGGGGATCGGTCACCCCGCAGCACACGGCACAGCCCCCGTGTCCCGCCTGCCTTGGCACGGGGGCTGAACGCAGGGGATGGTCATCCTCACTTGGTCACTGCTGCTGGCCTTGGCTCCAGGGTGCAGCTGCCTCTCTCAACGAGGCCCTGGCCTGGCTTCTCATGCCTAGAGAAGGTGAATTCACACCACCAGTGAGGCTGGTCTGGGGGAACTTCTGGAGATGTGGTCTAGGAGAGATGTGACACCATCCCCTTTCCCCCTGCTCTGGCTTCAGGTCCCTCTCCTTGCTCTTCCATTAAGTTCTCTGCTGCTGTGCAGAGTGCCCAGCTGGAGAGGTCTTCCTCCACTGATCTCACTTTCTCTTATTCCTCACTCTGCTTCTTTCTCCAGCTGTGTTTCTTACAAACATCGTTCCTTCACTCTTGACAGTTGTGCCAGGGCTCTGGGAGGGCTTTCTGCTGCTTCTGGGAGCAGGGCGAGCACTGGCCCCGTGGCTGCCTCTGTGGCTTCACTGATGAAACCCAGCCACCTAATGCATGGAACCTATTACAGCTGTAATTGGGACTAATTGAAACTCATCTCCTATTAGCTCTGCACTTTCCATGAAAATAAAAGTAGGATGGAAGTAAAGTAAGGAACAAAAATGCTTTAATGGGCCAAAATGGAGCAATTATTTTTTTTCTCTTCACCTAAGCACAGTTTACTGCCTTATTAAAAGCTTGTTTGTAGGAATACTCTTGCATTAAAATTCCAATGCATGAATCACCGACTGGAGCCACCAATGCTTTAGCTCATACTGGGTTTCTCCTTTAGCTTTTGCAAACTGCAAAGATTCAGGTCACTTTAGGGTCACCGAGATCTTGTGCTTCTACTTGTGGAAAATTAATGAGTCTGCTCTGCAGCAGGACGCTGACATTCAGGTAATAAACGATAAAACTACTGTAATGATCTTTATTGATGGCTGGTTTTTTTCTGTAGAACGTTATTATGTTTACTCACAGATACATACATTTTCATGAAGTTAAATAATAAAAGCATCCTGAGGAACTGCTCTCTGTTCAGTAGGCATAATTTCAGTCCATAATGAATATCTGCAGTTCCTAGACTACTAGCACTGTCGTCTAAAAAGCCACTAATATTGTAATAAGCAGAAGCAGTAAATTGTTGATTTACAAGGGGTCAATAAAGGAGCAGTGCTTTCCCTGATCTAATGCAGTTGTATTTAATATTACCATATAAAACAGAATTTTAATTTTCCTTGAGAAATGTAGGGCTCTCATCTGATCTTATCCATCTCTAAATGCCAGTGTCTAATGCAGGAACTGAGCTTCTCTCTGAGGGGGCTGTGCTGCCCAAGGGGGAAGGGTCTCAGCCCAGCCTTGCCCTGCAGTCAGAATGGAGCTTTGCCTCAGGGAAGCCCTCCTCATCCTCCTTTTCCAGCCACAGCCACGGCATCCTCTTCCATCCTCATACATTTCACTCCCTGCAAATTGAAAACGTGTAAATGTAGCATGAGGTGTCGGTGCCTGCACGCCACATCCTGGCCTGCACTGTCAGCACCTGGCTTTAATAAAAATGAGTATAGCAAAGCTGGCCTTTACCTACCCACGGGTTCTGCTGGGCTGCTTCTTGCATTACACCCTGCTGCAGTGGGGAAAAAACAGTCAGGTGTACATCTGTCTTCTCCTCTGGCACTCTCCTGAGGCCAGTGCAGCTGCAGGTGGGTGTCCTGGCAGGCACAAGCTATGGGATAGGTTCTTGTGGCTTAGGAAGTCTGCTCAGCGATGGACACACTGCAGCATTCCTGGATGCTATATGATGTTTATGGAAGTAGGAAGATCTCTTTCTTCTTTCGTGTTCAAGTTGATAGATTTGCAGGTAAAATGGTTCTGTCCCTCGGGTCATTGCTGTGAACAGCAAAAACATGTATTCTGTCACTGACATGCAGCGTACTCATGGGGCAAATCTTTTCTCTGGCAGCTATGAAGAGAGATGTTTCTTTGGCAGCTACAAGTAGCCAAACTGATGGGGATGAATAAAATAACCTTGTAGTCAAAGGGGAATAGTAGAACATCTGTTAACGTTTTTATCATTAATATTCTTGGGAGCTGGGGCTGTGTTCATGCTCAGTTTGGTATTGCCCTGCATGCATCTCATGCAGCAAAACATGGTCCAGTGAGATTATTTTAGCCCATGGAATAATACAGTTCAGGGCATAGGGGATGCTGTCTCTTGTGGTGAGGCAGAAATGCCACAGCTGGGATAAACGTGTGAGTTGTTTGCAGCACTGCCCAGGTGAGGAATGTGAAAACACTGGGAAGGTGCTTTTGAGGCATCCTCGTGCTGACAGGTCAGATCTGAAACACAGGAGCTGATGTGGACATGGGTTCAGGGCTGGGGCAGCCGAGTGTGGCACGGCTGTGGGGTGTGTGGTGTGCAGAGAGCCTGCAGGGCTGGGCTCTGCCCTGGGGTGAGGGTCCTTAGCCCCAGAGAGGAGCTCCCTATGCCAGCTGCACCTGGGCTGCTCAAAGCCTGAGTGGATCACAGAGCAGACAAATGCTTACTGTTCCAAAAGGGGGCAGAGGGAATGGGGAGGAGAAGGAGCAAGTCTCAGTGCTGCTCAGAGGAATGTTGATGAGTTTTGTATGAAACCATCCTGAGATAAAACACAGAGCTGCACTCCTGCCTCCCAGCTCTGCCTCTCTTATTGCCAGGAGGACTTTAGCCCTTAGGCTGGAGAGTCCCGTTGCGCTCACACAGAACAGATCCTCCCCTCCTCCTGTTTCTGCTTAGCTCTGACTGTGCCACTTGAAGTAGCACCAACTCAGGAGGAGAATGAGCAGGGCCCTGCCCTGCAGCTCTGCAGTGCCAGGCAGGAGGGGTGGGTCAGGTCTGAGCTCCCTTTGCCCAGGGTACGAGGCTGGAGCTGGATTCAGGAGTGGTTTCTGTGCTGGTGCTGATGCTCTGCAGAAGCTGACAGAAGCTGTCACGGCAGCTGCTTGGATGGATGGATGGATGGATGGATGGATGGATGGATGGATGGATGGATGGATGGATGGAGGATGGATGGATGGATGGATGGATTGATGGATGGATGGATGGAGGATGGATGGATAGATGATGGATGGATGATAGATGATGGATGGATGGATGATGGATGGATGATGGATGGATGATGGATGGATGGATGATGGATGGATGATGGATGGATGATGGATGGATGGATGGATGGATGGATGATGGATGGATGGATGATGGATGGATGGATGGATGATGATGGATGGATGGATGGATGGATGATGGATGGATGGCTGGCTGCAGCTTGCTGAGCTCCCAGCAGTGGGCAGGGATGGAACTGGCTCTGGGCTGGGCATTGTGCCATGTGCAGCTGCCTTCAGAGTGGTGCTGAGCTCTCCCCACCACCAGGCACAGGTCCCTCTGCAGGGCCATCCCCATTCTCTGGAGATCAGGCTCTGGCAGAAGGGAGCGGTGGCACTGGTGACCTCCATGTGGCACAAGGGCTTGTTTTCTATAACTCGGCCTTTCTGTGGTCTGTGGGGGTTTTCTGCATGATGTATTGAATTTGATTCTGTTCGCTCCCCACTCCATCCGTCCTTTGAATGAGCAAAATTAGGGAGAGAGGGGAGAACAAAATAAAAATGGTGATTTCTTTATTTATTTCCCCTAGAGGCTTTTCAATCAAAATAATTTCAGATTATGGGGTCGGGATGAATATTATAGTTCTGTGTTAAGTACTTGCCTACTTTGTGGGATGTTTTGTACAGATTCTTCACTAAATTATCTTAGCTGCTGTTGCTAGGTAACATTGTTTGCTTCATAGCATCAGAGAAATTAGAGGGTCAAAGAGAGCAATTCCATGTTATTATCATCTGAGTTATACTAATAAGGTTTTCATTGTGTGTCTCAGAAATCTTTCCCCCCTTTTTTTTCCTCTTAGGGAACGTCATTGTCTATGGGAATACAATTGACATTTACACCACGGTAGAAGCCCTCTTATCCCTTGGGATTGATGGCTCCTGCATCCATCTCGTGCGGGCTCCGCTCGGCTCTGCCGGTCCGTGCCTCGGGGACGCCGCCCTGGAGCGCGTGGTGGGGGAGGCCCTGGCACAGGCTGGGGTGGCTGTGTACCCTGACAGCGTCCTGGCAGAGTGGGGCCAGGATGAGCACGGCCACATCGCCTGGGCTGCCTTCAAACCGCTGGAGAGCGCTGCCGCAGAGCCGCTCCGCCTGCCCTGCTCAGTGAGTGCCCCTCCTGCGCCTCGCCTTCCGCTGGCCTTCAACACCAAACATCAATTTACCTGCTCCCTCACACACTGATCTGCTTCCTCACGGCCTCTCTGAGACTGAACATCCTTTAGTCTCAGCAACTGGTTTTTAAAAAATCCCCATAAACCTATTGTTAATGCCCTGACTGATTTGGATTAAAATGTATTTAAGTCACCTGACACACAAGTAATTGTTCACTGCCGAGTGACAAATACTCTTAATTCATTTCTGAAGTAATTCCAGAAATACTTTTCTTATTTAAATGTGCAGTTACTCCTGTCTATAGTAATGTGCATTTGATTGTCATAGTAGAAGCCAAAAACACTAGGATAGTATGTAACTTTATGAAAATATATTTTAAGCAGGTTCCTTTCCCTCCACATCAATGATTGCAGGTTTTTTCACTTCCAATATCTCACGGAAGCTGTCATGTCAGAGGTGTGGCTCTGCTCTGAGACTGGGGGCAGGTTCTAGCCTTCCCTAAGGGTCAGCATAGTTGTGTTTCCCTTTACTGGGCTAATCCATAGGAGTGAGTCACTTCCAGACCTGCATCCCTAGGGAGCCACCAAGCCCCTCTGTACTCCCCACTGTGCTGCCCTGCTCTGCACAGCTGCTGGGGTTAACTGTGGAGAGGGTGAGCCCTCCCAGAGAGCTGCTCCCCAGAGGGTGCTGCTCCCAGAGAGCTCCCCAGGTGTGGGGCTCCCTGTTGGCCCCCCTGCTCTGCAGCCCTGTCCTTTTTCACACAGGGATGGTTAAACCCTTCGTCATGGAGGTAAAGACCTCACACAGCACTTCTATCTAGTAGAATATTCCATATCAGTAGTGATGCTTGTCCCACTCTCCCCTTGTATGCAGCTTTATAAGTTCTCTCCTTTTCCTTGTAATCACTCTATTTTTATCCTTCCAAAAAGATCTCAATATGATTCTTGTTTTTGCAACTTGGTATCCACTGACCAGCTCCCCTTCAGCCCCCTGTCTTTTCCCCACCACCTTGTCTGGGAGGCCTGCACTGTTCCTTCAGATGCCCCTTGCCTTTGGGTTTCTTTCTCCTGCTCATTCGTGCCCCATGCTCGTCCTTCCTCCATCCACGCTCCTTCCCTGCGGAGGTCTCTCTTTCACAGCCTCTAAGATGAAAGACTGCAATTACTTGTGATGTCAAGGGCTTTGTGTTCTCCAAACCCAGTTCAGCTGCCATGCAAGGCTCCTGTATCTGCCTCCAGAATCAGACTCAGAGGAGGAGAGGGCTCTGGAGAGCAGCTCCACCAGGAAGGCAGCTGCACTCACGAGAGAGCAGGCTCTGCAGGAATCGGCTCTGCAGCAGCTCCGGGCCTTTTGGGATTTCAGCCAGTATCAACTGTTGATTGGCAGTTCTTGGGGACTTAATTTGTTGAGTCCTGCAGGATAAAAACAACAGGAGAAAATCTCTTCTTTCCCTAAAGCAGCAGCAGCCTCCCTCCTCCCTCCCTCCTGCCTGGGCTGACAGATGGCTCCCGCCTGGAGGTTGCAGCCCTCCCCTCCCCTCCGGTGACACTGTCCTGCCTGTCAGCCGGCGGGATGTGGGGCTGTGTGGTCCTCTTGCCCTCGTGGCCAGAGCTTCCTGGATGTTTGGATCTCTGAGATGATCAAAATTCCCTTAGCTGTGCATAGCTCATCACTTAGTTTAGCTATGAACAAGCCCAGGGGCTCTGGCTCCTCCACTGCCGCATCTCTGTTTGTGCCAGCGTTGCTAAAATGTCCAGCTCCCTGTGCCTTTCCTTTCAGCTAGTGGAGTATCTGACACCTGCCCTTGGTCCCCAAGAAAGCTCTCAACTGGGTAAGGCCTTTACCCCCATCACAGGTTTGTCCTGAGCTGGTGCTAAGGGAAGGACAGATCACAGATGCTGCTTTGGCCTGACAATTTAGTCTTGGGCTGTTCAGGATGAAGGCAGCAAGGGAAAATGTGCTCCTCTGAGACCCTTCCACCCTCTCCTCTGCCTGTGAAGGAATATTTCTTGCTGAAGGGGCAGCAGCTTATTGTCTGATGGTTTTAGAAACTGAGGGCACTGATGGTGGGGAAAGCTGTGTGAGGGCTCTGGGGCTTCACAAACCCTTGGAGCAATGAGAGTCAGTCTTCATCTGGGCCCTTTGCCGACTGTGGTCTTGTTCAAAACATCCCTCGACCTTGTCATTGTCATTCCTTCCACCCTTCCGTGTCCAGTGGGCACTCTTGTCTTACCCTCCTTCGGGGACCGTGTTCTGCCAGCTCTTGCTTTATCCTTGGCCAGAGGAAGCTTTGAGGACACTGCTCATGGTTGTTCTTCCCCCACGTCTGCTGTCTGCCCCAGCTTCTGCAGGGGGAGAGGAGCTCTGCTTCCTCGTGCCTCAGGAGAGGGACTGTGCCCGTGCCATGAAAGGACAAAAGAAGAGAATTATCGCTTGATTTTCTCTTTGAGACTTAAAACAGAAATTTATGGATGCAGGGTCCTTGGCCCTTGCAGCTTCCACTGACTGAAATTCCATTGCTATAGCTGGAATGAGGATGACATTTCATCATTAAACAAATTTAATTTCTGATCTTTCCATTTCACTGACTGTCCCTGTGCTGGTTAGCCAAAGTAACTCATTTTGTGAGTAAACAGGCTCAACAGTTGGGAAAACACTTGTAATGCACAATTATCTTGCTAAATTCCAAATACATTGTGCTTTTCTGTTCCTTGGAGTGTCATGTTGGCTTGAACATTTGAAGGAAAACAAACTTCACAAGAGGTTCAGGTCTATGTTCTGTGCTTGGACTAAGACAGAAAATATGCACAGACACTCAGGCTGTTTGATGTGGCAAATGTTGGAGTTTTTAAACTATCTAATAACCAGGACCAGCTGAGTCTAGTTTAGTAATTCTCCTTTCTGCTGTCTTAGTGTTAACTTTGGTAGCTGTAAATGCTGGATCAGAAGGATCTCTCTGCTGTGACAGTGTTGCTAAAATCACACTGTGTTTCACATTCTTGTTTTTTAAAATAGCATTCAGAATAAAGTCTGGGTTTTGATACATGAAATTAGCCAGTAATTAATATACAGTTAATATACCTTCTCTTATTTACATCTCTTTTTAGGCATTTTTTAGCTTTGCCTACAGGACACTGGATTATGAAACCTTTAAGGCCATCAGTGATGCTTGCCTTGTTTTTGATGGAAGACTTGTGATTGATGCCAAATTCCACACCAATGATGCCAGCATCAGGGCAGCAGGTCCCCTGACAAAGTTCTCCAGGAGATACTTCAGGGATGATGTGACACACAGCAACTTCAACTCCAAGGAGATTGGCTTTGAGCTTGCTGCTTCCATGCTGAGTCTCTTTGATCCAAGCCCTCAGCCCAGTTCTGAGCCACCAGAAGGCTCAGACAGACTCATCCCCGTGTACAGAAGGTGTAAAGTTCAAGGTATGTCCAGCTGGATTTCTGTCACACTTCCATCCCCTCTCAGGTACAGGTTGTTCTGCTGTAGTACAGGCAGGTCCCTCTCTCCTCAGGTGCCATCTCATGATGCTACAGCATTCAAAACTCCTTAGGTACTGGAAAAAGACGATGACAGGAGGAGGACAAATAAATAACATTATTTTCTTCATTGTTAATGACTTCATAAATCTCATCTTTTCATTGATGGCAGGTGGTGTTCTTCCTGGAGGTTATAACTACTTGCACGTTTCCAAGCCTGGAATCCCTATGGCCTTGGATGTAGAACATGACCCATGTGATCATGTAAGTTAAATAATGGAACTTTTCTTGTTTCATCCCCCCTGTTTGTTTGAAAAGATGTTCCTGTTTAGGACAGCTGGGCCTGGAGGGACCATGCACACCAGGAAGGGCTGGAGAGAGCACCAGGAGCAGTCACGGAGCTAACTGCACCTCTTGGCTGTTCCTTTCCACACTCCTGGTATTTGGCTTTCTCCAAAGACGCCTGGTCTCCATGCAGAGGACACAGGACAGTATTAGCAGGATTTCAGCTTTCAGTCTTTGTGATGAGCCTCTTTGCTGCCCCGGGTATGGTGCTGCAGGGGCACACAGACGAGGGCAGTCTGGCAGGGAAATTCAGCTGATTTCTACAGGAGCAGGAAGTACTGTGGAGGAGATGCTCTGTGCTGCTAGAAAACAGCAAGTGTGAGAGTTGTCTTGGCACAGGGCATGGGGAAGCAGTCCCCATGCTGGGCTACATGGGAGATTGTCCCAGGATACAAACATGGAGGTGTTTCTCTTACTGGAGAACCTGACTCAAGGCAAGATAAGGACTAGATTAACGTCTTTTAAAGCCAGAGAGGACTTTCCACCTAGGCAAGATCCTCTTTCACACAGATTGTACCTTTTTCCTTGGGAATTTCTGCATCAAGCCGACTTTTGCAGTTGATTTAAAGAGCAGCTTTTAAACGCCACTTCAGTGTTGATTTTAAAACCTGAACAGCAATGAAACAAATGGGTTTTTAAAAAAGAAAAGGGTTTAGGGAGAAGAATCAAAGCATGGCTCACCTTGCTTTTCAGATCCAGGATGAGCCATCTAAAGCAGCATGTAGTGGAGAGCAGAAAGGACTATCAGAGAGAGGAATTGGTTTTGTTACTCGAAATTGCTGGAATAGGATTAGAATTCTTTTGCTGCCACTCTGATTACCTGCTGATTACCTGAAAAGGGACCATATTTTTAAAGCCACTCCAGAAACTTCATATAAATCCTAAAAGAATTTTCTAAGGAAGAAGAGAAGCTAGTGAAAGGTACTGGCTTAGATGTGGAAATACTAAAGGTTCCTGTAGCTTAGCAACAGGTCGTAGAAATGTATAAAACTGTGACAGGAATACAGCTAGAAAAAACAGCTTCAAGCTATCTGATCATCTCACAGTAATGTGAGGTTTGAAGCAAATTTTTACATTTTTGTCTAAGTGATTGATTTAAGTGTCTGAAGCTAAACGCTACGGTTTGAGCATGAACATCCAATCTTGGTGCTCTTTTATTGACATTGGACGTGATACGCCGTGTGTGTGCCCCGTGTCACAAAGGAGGCTGAGCAGAGTTCAACTGAGTTCCCCAACAGAGCTGTCCAGTGTTGTTTGGGATGCCCCAGGGCCTCCCTCCTGACTCCAGCTGCTCCCCGGAGGTCACAGGTCCCCGTGGATCCGGTGTCACGCTCCCCCAGGTGTGTGCAGCGGCTGGTGCTGCCCCTGGGGTGGGCAGGAGCCACAATCTGTGTCCCAGGCTCAGTGACATGCCCCATGGCCCTCGGCTCTAGCAGAAGGGCTCTGGGTGTCGAGCAGCGAGAGCTCCGGCCGTGTGCCAGGTCAGCACTTCCATCCCCCAGCTTGGCTGCTGTGCTCTGTTCCAGGGCATGGAGATCGTGACCGGGGAGGCTGCTGCCGGGAATTACTTCAGGATGCACTTGAGCAGATACAGGATGGTGGACAGCATCACCTGCTTTGCCAAGGAACCCTTCCCTGTCTCCAACTACCTCTGCTTGTACGGCCAGCACGAGCGCCTGCTCAATGACCTGTGCTACCGCTGGAGGGCCGGGCAGCTCTCAGACCTCTACAGGTGAGAGGAGCTCGTCCTTGTGCACAAAATCTACCTTCGGGCACAATTTAAAGTTTGCCTTGTTATGCTTTGTCTTTTGGCTGTTTTCCCGTGGAACAAAGAGGTAGAAAAATAGAATTGAAAATATTTTTCATTATTTAGCAAAATTCTTGGTAAAAAAGCAAGTCCTGGAGACCTTCCTGGAAAGAGCCGTGTGTTTGAGATTTACTTAGAGGAGGAGCAGTGTTTTATTTGACTGTCTTTTATCTGAATGAGCATTTCAGTGTCTTTATCACTTTTGTTTAGAATATTCAGTAGGTTAATCATTAAGCTGAACAATCCTTTATTACTGAAGACTCGTGTTCAAAAGTTGCTTTTAAAAGCATTTTTGTTGCTTTGAATCAAATTTTTAAGCCAGAGGTTTGTAGGGAGATTTTAAATAACTCATGGTGATAGTCATGCTTAACAACTTGCCTCCTTTGATCTGGTGAGAGAGGCTGAAGGGGGCTTGGTTAGTTCTAGTCATGTGCCATCTCCTCTGAGAGAATGCTTCATTGCTTTTGATTTTCATTTAAAGAAATCTCACACAAATGGTGTGTTGGAACATAAACTGTCACAGATGGAGGAGTGAAGTGCTGCTTTACATCAGCTGGGTAGAGACAGAAAGCCAGGCTCAGGAACAAATGATCAGTTTTTATTGTGATACAAAGCTGACAGTGGTGTCTGAATCATTTCCAGGTTTGATTTTGTTCTATTTACAAGTGATTAGAAGAAAGGCAGAAATGGTAGCCAAATTTTCAGATTAAACATTATTTAGGTAACAGTTTGTAAAAGTTGGTTGTGAAGGGTGTGCTGTGGTCCAGAAGATGCTGGTGAATTATTGCTGCCAAAGGGCTTGATTACCATTTCTAGCAAATGTTGGGGCTGTTTTGCAAGCGAGGAAAGGGGCACAGCAGAAGTGAAGTTCACCTGAACAGCCCTCTGCCAGTGAGTGTTCCAGAGGGTGACACAAGTGCAGGAGAGATGGGCTGAGACAGAAGGTGATTCCATCTCCTTGTCACAGCTCAGGGTGATCAGACACCTGGAGCTCTGGAAGAACTCCCTAGTCAGGCTGTGGCCAGGTGCCATCAGCCCTTTCCTGGGCCACTACAGGTTGTGAGCTCACCTTCTCTGTGAACCACACTGAGCTGCGGTCAGGGCACCTTGCTAAATGCACCAGCAAGTTTCACACCAGTAGCAGCATCTGGAGGAATAAATCATCCTGCTTTGGGATTTCAGCCTGCAGCACAGATAGCAGTATTTTCCTGACCTTGACCAAAGGATCACTGGTGCTGCACAGAGGGACACCACGTATCAGGGCCTCATCACATCCCTTCAGCTCTCCTTAATTAGGGATGATGAACCAATTTTGGACTTGTCTTTTACAGCCTTTAGACTGTGATGTTGTTTGGGACCTTTTGCCTCATTATTTTATCTTACCTCTCATTAGCCTGTGGCAGAATTCCTGAATTACAGTTGCCAGGTTTTTCTTATCTGGCTGTTTTATTGCCTCCAGTCGTTTTCAGTCTTCTTTCTACCTTATCTTTAGATAGGTTTGTTCCTTCTCTCCTTGCTCTTTGGTCATATGAATGAAATCCCATATGTTGCTCTGCAGCAGTGAACATATGCTGCTCTTTAATCCACTTTCACACACACACAGAGCTTGGTGTTCCTGTTACACATGTCCATCCTGTGAGGAGGGAGCACTCTCCAGCAGGTGTAACAGGTAAACTGCCTGGCATCCCCATGGAGCATCCTGGAACACAGCAAGCTGGCACAGGAATTTGCTGCTTTCAGGAGGATGTGGAGCAGCAGAGGAAGGCTGGCAGTGTGTAACATATTCTCGTAATACATCACATCTACATCCCCACAGTACAGTGTCACATAAAATGCACTTACATGTGCGTGCAGGGTGCAATAGACACTGTTAAAAGCAAGCCATGAGAAGACTGTTAGAAAACCATTTCACTGAAAAATGGTTCAGCATCTCTTGTGAGTTGTCCCGAGACTTCCATGTAGAGAAAAAGTGGTTGGCTTTTGGTGCAGAATAGGAAAATGCATTCACTGATTTCTGTGTGTGTGATAAAAGAACAACTGTTTGGGCCTTGTTCATGTGGTCTGTAAGGATCCCACATGAGTACAAACCTGATGTTAGGACTGAGTTCCTCTCTTTGACTTTCAAAACCTTCTTTTTAAACTAGTATGTTACGCTTGCATCCACGTCTATTGGTAAGATGTGAAGTGCCCTTAGTGAAAAGAAAATATAGACTGTGAAAATGTGGTGTGCTAGTTAAGCTTGTAAACTTGATAGTTTGAAACATCTGTTCCCCTCCTCTCTTCTTTATGCCTCTCTTTTGGGAAGAGCCTTCCTACGAGGAAAGAAAGTGCAGTGTTTTAATCTTTTGGTCTGCATTTAGATTTCCCAGCATGGCATCTCGTTCCAGGAATGGACACAGTGGAACAGCTGTCACCTGGGAGCTAATTTATTTCTGTGTAGCATGCAAATTATCTTTTAAATAATTAGAGACTTCACCTAGCAGTGAATTTCCTCACTGATTTGTGTTCAGTGTAAGAGCTGAAAGTTAACCCCATGGTACCGGATTTCCTGACCAGAATGTGCCAGAGCCATTCTCAAATTAGCTTTAACAACAGGCCCCCGAGATCCAGCAAACTTGACAAAGTCACCCCTTCCTGTCGTGTGCCCAGAGCCACAGCTAATGGGAATAACAACATTTCCTTTTGTCTGGAGAAAAGTTCCATTGATTTGGGTACGAGTTCGGTGGGGTTAAGAGCTGCAGGACCTGACCCACAACCAAAGGAAGCATTGCTGCTCTGCCCCAGTAGCTGGGCTGTCAGAGGAGGTGGAGCAGTGGGCACACATTGCCCTCCCTCCCTGTTGCCTCGTGCCATGCAGTGGGTGCTCTCCCTGCACCTGGGCCTGCAGCCAGTGAGCAGAGGGGCCTGACACTGCAGTTCTTCTGTGCCAGGCCAGGAAAAAACGGAGGAGCCAAAGACTCGTCACCTGTGAGTTGAAGGGCATTACTCACTGGATTTGGAATCCACTTCAGGAAGGAGTTTCTGCAATTTTTATTCATTTCCCATCAGGCTGCATCTCAAAAAGTCAACTAGAATTTGAGTCCCCAAGAGCAAGGCTCTGTCTTGTGGAGAGTCTTCTCCTGAAGGAAAAAGGAAGCAAATTCCAGTGGTGTGCCCTGAAGGGATGTACAGCCCATGCTGTACGCCATGCTCCTACCCACCCTCGCTTGCTGAAAGGCCTTCAGATTATTTCCATCATTACTGCCCTAGCAGCAGATAAAAGAGAGGGGTGGGGAGAAAGGTCTGAAGCTTTTTTTCTTTCCTTTTTAAGTTTATAGATTTACTGGTCATGAGTCCTCCACACTGCTTCCCAGAGGAGGAATGCAACCAGCCAGTGACCCCCTTTTGTGTCCTCTTGCGCTGATGGCAGCTGCAAGGCAGTTGCCAAGTTATGGAACATCTCCTCTGGGCGGTGGAATCTCCCTCTGCTGCAGCTTAAGTACAAACCAGATAATTAGAGGGGTCTCCTGATACTTGGCAACCAAACGAATGCTCACTGGCATCATGCCTTTAATATGAGGTAGAAGTGCTTGATGTAAGCTTCATTTGGCATTAATGAAAATCAAATCTAACATAAATGCATAAAAATCTGACCCACTAGTTTCTGAAATACTTAAGGAGCCCATTTTGCAAATGAGGTGTGAGAGGCTTTTACTTGGGCTTTTGTAATTGTGTATTAATGAGCCCATTGTGAGCCAGGAGCTGCAGAAGTCGCTGGCTGTGTCTCAGTGGTGGGGCAGTGGCAGCACGGGCAGGGGCACAGGGTCAGGCCTGGGGAGCAGTGCACAAAGGCAGGGCACGTTTTAATGAGGGAGCAGCACACAAACCTCACAGGCACTGGCATCCAGGCAGTGTTATTTGTCATTTTTTGTTTCAATTGCTTTGTTTCCAGCATTTTAAGGACTCGTCAAACTGGACAATTTGCTTGCTCTGCAAGGGGTCTTGGGCACCGTGAGTAGGGAGAAGCCCCCAGAAGACGTGACCGGAGCTTTTTGGCAAGGAGTTGGGAGAGTGGGTTTTATGGCAGCGCTTGTGCGTGGGACAAAGAGCACAGGGGGTTTAGGTGAATTGCAGTCACAAAGGAATGTTTTTCCCAGTGCCAGAATGCAGGTAGGATTCAGTGTTCACTGAGGAAGGGAACAGGCAGTCCAGGCATGGATCTGTGGAGGTCCATGCCAGGTGGCTCCCGGCGCACGTGCCTGTGTGCTGCTGTCCAGCAGCTGGGCACCCTGAAGAAAATCACACCAAGTGGCACCAGGTACTGACAGCCCATAGAGCACAAGGCTGCCAAACATGCAGCAGGAATATGTGAAAGGAGTCAGGCTCCCTTTCCTGACAGGCTTTGGAAATTCCGCCCAGACGCTGTAAACATGGATAACAGCGCCGGATGTTTCCTTGGCTGCTCTCTTCGAACCCTTTTATTTTCACATTGGATTTTCATGTTGGCTGTACAAGCTAAATGCTCGAAAGCACTTTGAGCTGCATGAACAACATTCACTTATTTTGAAGTAACCATTTAGGTTTTTCCACTGAAGTTCAATTCCCACATCCTGGTGCTGTTAACATCAGGCTGAAGGTGATCTGTTAAGCAGTGTCGTTCAGTGAGACTGTTAAGCAGAAACACCACACCGGACTGTTTATTGACTCAAGGCTAATAAAGCTCACAATGTAACAGATGCATTAAGGAAAAGAAGAACATTTTGTGTTTTCAGCATTACTGTTAAAAGGTAGAGAGAACTTCATTGCTTACAGGCTGGATAATCAGTGATTATTTAAACATGAAATGTATGCTACATAGAAAAGCTGGTTTTAACCCAGGCCTTGTGAAATGAGGAGTGGTTGTTTGTTAAGAGGAGCACTAGAATGCCCCGCTGCTGTCTGGAATC